TTTTTTAATGGTGTTTGAAAAACTAGATTTTCGATAATTTTTCTTGAATCATTTTCTTTTTTCTTTTTTTAATATTATTAGGTAAACAAGAAATAATCTTTCATTTATTATAAAGGAAATATACTTTATAATTTATATAAAGATTTAATTATTTTTCCTGCAGTCTTTTTGAAATAAGAAAGTTTTATTATTTTTCTTGATTATCTTGAGATATTTTATAATTCGATTAAATCACAGCATGTTTGAATTTTAATTTTTTTATGAAATTGTTTGTGAAAATTTGATGAGTTCTAGTAAAACGTTTGTATATTAGATTATGACTATTTTACGTTTTGCGCCATGTTGTCCTCTTTAGTTTTTTTTATTATTTATTTCTATTTAAAAATAATACTTAAAGATGTTTTAATTCTAGAATATAAGTAAATTTGCGATGTATTCCCATTAAATTATTCCTAAAAACTTGATAGATCGCGAAATAGTTCATGGAAATTTCGAAGAGTTTTGTTTTTATTCCAAAGAGAATAACGTTAGTCTAAAATTGAAGATATATCGAAATTCAATTATATTTAACATGATACCTTTCGATTTTTTCATTGTTAGCGATGCTAGAGAATCATCTCATTTTATAATCAAATATGACAATTACAAATATTGCAAACATTTGCAAAAATATTTTTTCATTTTTTTCGAATATTCTTTTCCTATTTCCCTTTTCTTCTTTTGCAAATATAATCGATTTTTTACACATACATCATCATCACCTATAAGAGCTAACACGAAGCAGAACGAGCAGCCAATAAGAAATTTTCGTGCATCCATGCCTGTCATGATTAGACATGATTAAAATTATAATTTGGTTTAATGAATGACGGTGATTGCACGCTACGTTAAAGCTCTTAATAACATATCTGTCGAATTGTTGAATTCGCCGTATACTGCATGCATTTCATCCTTTTTATAAATCATGCAGAAATTTTTAGCCACGGATAATTAACATTAATTTGCAATGTAAATCATAATTCTCGTTAGCCGTTTTGATCGTAGCAATTATATCGATTAGATTCGATTGAAAAGTAATTAATTAATTAATTAATTAACAGAATTTGTGAAACGACTCATCGTAAATTCATAAATTTTACAAAACAATTTTAGTTAAATCAATATAAATAAATAAATCAAGTTTCAAAGCAGAAATGGAAAAAATTTTAATGGTTGAATTAAGAATAAATTTCATTAATTTATCATCAATAATTTATTACTCAAAACATTGAATAATCGTTAAACAGTCGAAGTTATATGAAGAGCGAATTCAACTATAATAGTTACAAATAAATATTATTCAAACATTTTAAATAAAGTTATTATTTATTTGAAATTTTAACTAGTTATTTTTTTCAATGAGTTGGTATCTAAACTCTGTTTGGATATAGACACATTGAAAAATATCAACAGAAAATTTTTTCATTTTATAGGTTATGAGAGATATTCAATATTTTGAATTTTTCGCATTATTCAAAAAAAAATAGTTAATAATCAATTCTTTGCAAATTTTAACGAAAAAAATTATTCAAACTAATTTAATTAAATTTAAAGAAATTCAAATCATTCACTTTGATATTAGTGGAAATAAAATAAAATTTTTTTAGTCGAAACTCATGCGATTTATTGATTCTATTTGCCGATTGTAAAGTCGATTCTCACGACTGTCGTAAGAAAAACGGGAAACGATCATTGCAAAATAATTCATGTATCCTTTCAGTATTCGAAGTCTATCGGCGGTATACTCATGCACTGTATCCGATCTCGAAAGGCAGACGTGCAAACTTAATTAACTCGACGCCAACTGAAGGTACAACTTTTTCAGATGTTATGTACATACTATGTATAAGGTGATTCTTTCTTAAAGTGGATTCTAAAGACAATGTTTAGTATTTATGCTTTCATCTTCGCTTAGCTGTATTTGAGCCATAACGATTAGTTTAATAATTATAATTATATATTATATACTTTATATATTTTTTCTTTCATTCTCTTCTCAAAGGAAATTTTTGATGGAATTTAAATCTATTTTTATCTCTTAATTAAGAAAAAATTATTCTGATATAGGTTAATGATAATAATGTTTTGAAATGTTATAAACTTTAGAATATACAAAATATTTCTCTCTTTAGAAAGCAATGCTATAATGCTTAAATATCAAGATAATAATTCTTTATGTACAGTGATTTTTTTTCGATGATGAAATCGATAAAAAAAATGATTAAAATCATTATTTTATCATCAATTAATGGACAAATGGCTATTCTTAATGGCTATTTTTAATGGAGACGATTGTATTTGCAGCGTTACGAACTGTATACTTTTCTGCTTACTAATCTTGAAATCAATGCCATCACGTAGCGATAATTTTTTATATACAATGATTCGTTGAAGAAAAAATCAAAATTTCTATTCTCTCATTTGATTGTCAATAACGATTATTGTTAGCGAAGATGATTGTATTTATAACATATACAAACTGTATAAAGAATTCTCTAATAAACTCAAAAACAGTATTCCATACTTTTACAACCCTTTACATATATAATGATTTGTCAATGGACAGACCAAAATTATCATCTAATTAACAATGCTATTGACTTTGCTATTCATTAGCAAAATTGATTTTATTTTGTTACAGTTATTACATTTGTTTTCGAATAGAATTCGAGAAAATCATCTCATACGTAACCGTGAGAGAACTACGAATCTCAAAGCTTTTGCCTACCCTTGTAACAACGTAATAACCGCGATCCGCTGGAATCCAGTGGTTCTCACCTCCGCGACGTGCAAACATTTTTTCCAAGTTCCGGAAGTACATCGACCCCGTTGGATGGGACTTTACCGTCTCCTCCTGCCTGGTCACGAACATTTCAAATTGGTCGTAGAAATACCGTGTGCCGTCCAAGGATTTATCTCTCCTGCAGGAACGAGTACCTTCGAGGATGCTCGTCGAACCAAGTCAATTCACTTGACAATACGAAACGTAGGGCGAAATTCTATTTGCCATTTGTAAGTTCTAATGATGAAACGAAAATTAGTTTTTATTAAAATATGAATTTTTATAAGTCAATGAAAATTATAGTATTATATAAAAATGATTTGTAAAAAATTTTACTTAAAAAATAAATTTATTTAATATTTTATGCATTTTCAACTCTTTTAGAGAAATTGGAATATTTCTATCTTCTAAATATTCGATTCCAAGTATGATCCATTCTGTTATGATGAGAGATCAGATTTTATCAATTTTCATATTCAAATTGAACGATTTTGTATATAGGGAATACTCGTTTATCGAATCTTTCCACGTAACGATCACAAACGTACCTCGATAAAGGAGCAAAAGAAACTTGCCGCATATGGTATCCTCGTGTGTACACATCCATTTCTTGGCGAACTTTAAACGCATCTGTATTCCAAACATATTCCACTATACTTGAAATATTTATGATCTTCACTTTACGTTCGAACCATTTTGTTACGAAACTCAAGACCACACAATTTCATTAGCAGTTAACACATCTTTTGTTCGTTGTGAAAATAGTATTTGTCACTTTTTATTCGAAATAAAAATAAATGCTAAAAAAAAACATATGTACATGTTAGAAATGAATTCTTATCTAAAACAATTTTAATTTTGTCCAGACAAAAGTGCTTAGTAACAATAGACTTAATCTAATATATAACTTAAGGTAATTTACAATTGTTTATTAGCCACTAGTCTAAGAATTAGATTTAAGTTAATACATTATAAAAATTGGAATAATTTGAATATTACCTAAAATCAATAAACATTTCAAATTTTATCCTTGATTTTTTCAAATTTTGACTGTAACATATAATAATAAATAAATTTATTTAATAGCAAAAATCTTTTAAAATAATTCTAGAATTTAAAATATCAAAATGATTTGATTGTTTCAAATAGTGATACAAAATAAAAAATGAACTTGAAGAAAAAAACAAATTACCGAAGTATTATTAATATATTAACTATACTCTTTCTCTTACTCCTTCATAGAAAATTTTTCTAGCAAATATAATCATGACTCACGAATTGAAACTTAACCTCAATTTTTTAATGGATCAACTTTCATCCAATTGAAACAACGAAAAATTCTGCAAAAAGAAAATCGTTGAAAATTCTCATTTTGAATAAATCACAAACCTTACAAAGGCCGAGTTCCTCGAATAGATTGAATCAATAATAGATTCGATTCGATTCAAGGATGGTCGCGAAGCTTACCTATTCGTACATCTCTTCCTATTCCATGACAGCCGATACGTGACGAGATTTCGCTTCTAATAGCTAACCACAGCCAGTTTTAACAGAAGTTCCATGAACTTGTTGTTTGCAGTTTCCTCTTTTTGTTCTTTTTACCACCACCTCCCACTCAAACCGTTCAATCGTCTTTACATATATCCAGGGTACGTGTGCGTACACAAGGATCTATGGAATCTTCGCGAACACACGTGAAATCCACAGGGTATAAAAGCTTGCAAGACCTGTTTTCGCGATTGCTCGTGTTCCAAGGAATCCTGTTGCGGGAGAACCACGTCCTAGGGAGTGGACAGTTCAGGACAGTCCTTTTCGGTCTACAGTTCTAGGTACACCGTTTCAGGAATTCCCATTGCTCGCGTGACTAAGGTAAGGAAACGTATTATTGACAAGATCTTTCCTCCGTGATGTTGTTTGCTATGCTCAGTGACTAAGTAAAATCTAAAATAGAAAAAAGATTATGGTTAGTAAATGTAAAATAGTTCATTATTTAAAAGATTTGCATAAATCTTATTGACAAAATTTTTGTTCTGTAATGTAATATTCTTTGCTATGTTTAAATAGCTAAGTGCATTTTAAGTGCAAAACAGACAAATAATATAGAGTTAATAAATGTATAATAATTCATAATTTTAAGGATTTACATAAATGTCTAATCTCAGTAAAGAAATGTATTGACAAGGTTTTTTTTCTATAATATAATTGTTGTTATATTTAGTGATTAAATATATTCTAAAATAGGTAAATAGATATATGGTTAATAAATATATAATAGTTCATTTGGATAATCTAAATGAAAAAGAAATCTAAATAATATATTATTGATGAATTGTTTTCTCTGTGATGTAAGATTGTTTAGTTTTTCAATAATTATTTTAAAATAGATAAATAATATATAATTAACAAAATAATTTTAAAGATATTAATAATTTACATAATCGATTACGTAACGATACATAACGATTTAATCGTTGGATTCTTTTCTCTATGATGTAAATATTCTAAAATAAATAATATATGATTAATGAAAGTTATAATTTGAAGGATCTCGATAGTTCACGTGAGTGAATTAAGAAAACATTGGATCTTTTTTCTATGATGTAAAATTGTTTACTGGCTATTTAATGGTTAAATCTATTTAAAATAGATACAGTTGAGTAATAAATTGTATATAATAATTTGATAAAAGATTGGAGATAACAGAATATATATAATAATTATTTCCTTTTATTTTCGATTAAAGTTCCTCAATGGAATAATAGAGATGTCTTTTTTCTTTTTATTCCATTCATCTGGAAATAAGAATTTTAACAATAATAAAAAAATATTTATCATTTTAATATTTGGAATATCTTTTAGCAAAATTTAATATTATTCACAATGTCAAATTGAAAATTTTGCCAAATAAACTAAATGATATTATTCAAACTTTATTTTAATATATTTTTCAAACATCGAACATTTTCAAGACAATTATTCAAATATTAATTATGCAGTTATCTAAAAAAACTGATTATAATATTCATTTATAATATAATAATTACTGTCAAGAAATTTTATCAATAATATTTAATTCTAATTTTTAATTTTAAATTTCCATCATCTTTCGATAAATTAAATTTAGAAAAATTAATATTCAGAATTAGATATTAATTTAAATAAAACATAATTAGAAACTCTATCGTAAATAAATTTTATAATTCTAATTATAAATCCTTCAATACTTATTTTTCAACAGCAATTACTTTCCAGCGTTTAGCATCCCATCTTACCACCAATCCTATTCGCGCCATTAAAAAGAACAGTCATCGAAAACAAATAAACAGGGCTTCGTAACATTCGATTTTAAGAAGTAGTAGAACCGGTTATACTATGCATGCAGTGATGTAAGTTTCCTTCGGAAGAAAGGATAAAGGGTTATGGCAATTTCAATAACCTCATTATACCGGATAGATCCATAAATTCATCTAAAAAAAATTATTTTTCAAATTTCGGAACATATTAAGCGTTCGTTTTCTCCTTTTCAATAAAGCCTCATATCGGTGAAATTATTCAGCGTATATTCACTGTTCGACGATTTTGCATATTTGTGCACGTAAATGTCTGAAATAAATTTTCACATTTTTAAAATAAAAGTAAAAAGAAATATTTGTAATGTAATAAAAAATCGTTTGTTTTTATAACTATTTTATTCTTCATCATTTTTATTGATTATTATATTAGTACTTAATTTTTTATCTGTAATTTTGTTTTACATTTTTTTGCTGTAAAATTTATACATTATTTATTCATTTCTATTATTCATCATTTACTCTTCTCTTTTATTGATCATCAATGATTATCAAATCATTATATAATGATTAATCTAGAAAAAGAAGAATTTTTTGAATTATATACATGTTTTGTTTTCATTCTTAGAAAAATTATAATTATAGAATACGTTACCAAAATTTAACCATCTATTTTTAAAGCACATCTATATACCAAAATAATAAAATAAAGCCGTAGAAACCATAAAAGTTACTTTTTCTCCAGGTATTTACGATGTTATTTACCATACTATTCCTTCCTTTGGTGGTTGCCGCGCCACTCGAGCCAACTAGTAAGAGTTACATCCTGGATATCGAGAATGGAACCCTAAGGAACGTCCTATTTCACAGCACACCCCTCGAGGAACTCGATTTATCTGGCTTAGGGATTCGTCACCTGGAAAAGAACGCCTTAGATAACGTATCCACGTTAAAATGGTTGAGCCTCGCCAACAATTCTCTCGAATCCCTTCCAGAGTTCATGTTTTCCAATCTCTCGAATCTGGAGTACCTCTCCTTAGCGGAGAACAATTTGAAGAACCTGGAATACCTCTTCGTCCGCTTGGAGAAGCTTCGAGTGTTAAACATCTCTTGCAATCCCGTGCTTCATCTTCGCAGAGGACATTTGTTCGGTCTCACGAAATCGACCACCATATTGACCGAGGGAAATAATCTTTGGAGTATAAGTACCGGTACGTTCACGAATTCGTTTCTGAAAGACGACGAGGAATTGAAGAATTTAGAGAAGATGAAAGCCGAGCTTACCATGATTCAAACGATAGAGAGTACGGAGACGGAGATAGAATTAGCATCAGAACGCAATGCGTTGAATGGTAACATGCCGACCACAAAGAACGAGATACTGAAAGATCAGAAGCTGAAGTTGTGCATGCCGAATAACATAGTTCTTTCTATAGAACCGCTCGAAAATAATTCGGTGGCGAATGGATGCTTGGAGATACCTGTGAACAAAGAGAAAAGATCGGTCAGTTTGCAAGGACTAGGAATCAAAGGATTCCACGAGAAGTGGTATCAGTTACAATATCTTCCGATAATTTCCTTAGATCTGTCCAACAACGAGATCACGGAGATCACGAAAGAATTGCTTAACGATCTTCCCGAAGATTTGATTTATGTGAACTTGAGAGGAAATAGAATCAGATGCATATGGAGCCAGGTGATCGAAAATAGACATTTAAAAATCTTGAATCTTAGCAATAATTTTCTGGAAAAGATCGAAGATGGTGCATTTGCGAAGACGAACCTAACCTCTCTGACGTTCTTCGAAAATCAATTAGAAAGTCTCTCGTTCGTTTCCAGTTTGCCCAGTACTTTGCAAGTTCTCATATTGGCAAAGAATCGATTCTCCTCCATCCCTGATAAAACATTCGTGAATCTGCCTAATCTGATTTATTTAAATTTGGTTAACAATCAGATCGAAAGACTTCAGAATGATATTTTTAAAGGATTAGATTCGCTTCAGATTTTGATTATCACTAAAAACAGATTGGTGGAGATCGAACGTGATGCATTCAACGGTCTGAAGCAATTGACTACTTTGAATTTTTATCAAAATTCTTTGAGAGAACTTCAAAAAGGAACTTTCTCGGGACTGGAAAATTTGAAAGATTTAAATTTAAGCTCGAATAAGTTACAAAAAATCACCGCCAATATGTTTGCAGACTTACCACAAAATTTGGGATACCTTCACATCGATTTCAATGAGATAAACAGTTTGGAAAAGGGAAGCTTCGTCAATGTTCCCAGATTCACGTTGTCTTTAACTGGAAATAAAATCTCAACCATCCCAAGTGGAACTTTCGATCTACCTACACTTAGAGATCTTTATTTAAATAATAATACTTTGACGATGATCGACGGTGACAGCTATGAAGGATTGCCTCAGTTGAAACATCTTCTGTTGATAGAAAATCAGATTAATGAAATACCGAAGGGTTCTTGCAAGAATTTAGCCAGCTTGAGTATATTGAACATCTCGAGGAATCCGATTCAGAAACTGCAAAATGGAGCCCTCTACGGATTGAGTTTGGCAAGAGGAAATTCCATATATATTTATGAAAATCAGCTGAAAGAAATTCAAGGTGCATTATTCGAGGATATCTAATGGAATGACTCATTAATGATTTGATTAATGACTTGTATATTCATTTATTTTAATTCTTATGATTTATGTAAGAATTATAATTCGATATGGAAATATTGAGGTTAAGATATTCTTTCATACGAAAGGATCTCTTTTTGTGGTTTTGCTTTAAATACATACGTAAGTAGATGTTTCTGATAGTTGATAGTTTCATTTTTTGCTGAATTTCTAATATCTATATTATAAATATTTATAATTATGCATTGCTTTATACGTCTGTAATCTTCGTTGATCATCACTGTACGATATGAATTATTTTTCGAAATATAAGAACTTTTTCTTTAAAATAAAAAATATAAAAATTTTTAAAGATTATTAATTGATATAATTTTATAATTATACTTAATCTAAGTATCTTCAAAATCTTTTTTAATATAAATTTTTTTACAATTGTTGAATGGTAGCAAAGCAATTTTTGTCTAAATATAAAAAGTATATTGCATATCTCATCTAATTCATGAAAAAATGAAAAGACAAATAATTAAAAAGAAATAACAATTTAATACTATATTAATTTCGATGAAATTAATCAAAAAATAATATAAGCTAATTCACTGATACATAAACAACAGATTTCATTTCTATTGTGTAACACCTTAACGACATGATTTGTGATTAGATTTACAAACAATAGCATCGAAATGATGGCAATCTTGTATAATAATACATAAATCTTCAAATATAATCACATAAATTTAATCTTAATTGCGCGTAAATTACTATAAAGAAAAGAAGCAATCTCATTGCAACGCCATCTTCGTTTAACGATTAAAGGCTTTCAAATTCGGTATACGTATTCAGCCGTGAAAGGCGACCATTCGATGGTCATCACTAGTAATTTTCATAAACTGGTTACTCGGTATATTCGCTTTCTCCCAAGAATACGTTTAAGTGCGCTACATGGATAGACGTATTAAATGTAAATGCACTATAAAATATTGTGGTTTACGACTAGTTAACCTTGACTTCTATGAGAACTTAGAATCACAAAGTGGTGACCGGATTTTGAGGAAAATCGACACACTTCTCGCAATCGTTTTCAATGTTTTGCTAAACGATCCGTGGGAACAGGAGCACAACATAGTTTATTGTTTGAATTTGATTAGAGGTGGGTTTAATATTGATTTTTATGTTGTTAAAAATCGAATTCAAAACTTTGATAAGATTTCAAAACCTAGGAAATGATTTTATTTTGTAAGAAAACAAAATTATTAATATCTATATTATTTATTATTAATTATATTATCTACTATTTTGTAAGAAATTTTGTAAAAAAACAAATATTGTATCTTGAAAACTGATTTTTAAAAGACTGAAGACATTTTTGCATAAATCTTTATTACATATGAATCGAATATTTGGAAATGGATATTTTGAAAATGACTCTTTATTCATCAATATTATTTATTTATTTTTTTTTTTATGTGATTTTTCGGATAATAAGTACAAAGTTTTAAAGTTTCTTATAAGAAATGGATCTCTTTTTTTTAGGTTAGATTTCAAAGTTCAAGAAATCTATCTCTAGATTTAACTTTGCTTAATGATATATTGAAGTTTTTATTATTGAAGTTTTTATTCATTTTCATTATTGTATTGTAAAATTATTGCAAATATAAAATTTATATAATTTTTCTCGTACATTTAATCATCTAATTTAAAAATACATAGTTAAAAATATACAACAATGAATTTTTTTAAAATTTATTATATTATATAAACATGTAAAATCTGAAAGAATCTAATATGCCATTTAAAAATTATTTGCATAATATAAATATGTAAAATATATAATAAATCTGAAAAGCTTTTATATGCCATTTGATTGAAGAAATACGAAGAATTAATGCAGTGATTACAAAAATTGCAAAAATGCAATAATATCATTATATTATTCACATTATTATTACAATTATCATGAATGAATCAACAACAATATTCAGAAAAATTTTAATTTTGAAAAAATTTGATCACAAAACTTTTATGCAAAAGATAATATAATAAAAATTAATACGAAATAATAACTTTCGAAATAATAACATGTTTCCTGCAATTAAAAAATTATATTTTTGAACAAAAGAAAAATTATCGTTAAACCTCTTAATTAAGATCAAGATGTACTATTGTATTATTTGAATTATTATTACGATTTTTGATGGATCAACAACAATGCCGCAAGTCTCGCTTGAAAAAGTTGTCATAAAGTTTCTTCGCGAAAGAATGGATTTTGACAATATCATAATCATCATAATAAGCCAGAGTTATTACCAAGATAGATCTCTCCTGTCATTTCAATTGTTACAAAAAAAAGACAAAAATAATATATATAGTTGCTATGGAAATCTCTATTTGAATATATTTACTTTGAGTCTTATATTTTATATTTAGTAATTGTTATCTTTTATTTTCAAATATTCGAGACAATTCTAATAGTAAAAATCTCTATATTTAATAATCATGTGATTATATATATATTTGGTAGTATATTTGGTATTTCTCAATCAATCAATTCAATTATCTATGATCAAAAATAAACATTTTAAATTTTTTGTAAAAGAAAAAGATCTATTCTATAATTGATATTTTGAAAAGTCATAAAGTATGATCAAGTATGAAGATTTTATTTTAGTTAGAGGAAAGATGTTAGATTAGTTAGATTAGTTAGATGTTAGAATGTTAGATTACTGATTATAATTATCATATATATGTTATATATGTATATCATATATATGAATATATGTTATACATTTAAAAATATTATTTTATAACGTATTTCGATTTCTATAAATCAAAACTATATTATATATATATATATCGGTTCATATTTTTCTCATCACCATTTTTTTTGACTTGGTAAAAAGAACTGATTCGGTCTTACATACCAACTGGCATTCGTTCCGTGACGAAGGTCCCGAGCAATTTCGTGGCACTGACATTGCACACCCGTATATTTTCCGCTTCCGGTTTAGTCAACGGTAATTTCAGGGTTATCGAACGTGTATCTACCAGGACTACCATTTGATATCTCTCTGATATACATAAGTATATTATAGCATTTCATATGTATACAGAAATCAAAGAGAATCTTCGACTAGTGATGGGATCGAGTATATCGTAAGTTTGAACATTGATTCAAATCTTCTATAAGTATATTGAATAGAATATATTGAAAGACCTTTAGATTTGAATATAAAATAAAATTATATTATAAATCAAATATTATTTTTAGTTACAAGTGCAAAAATAAAAATAAAATTATAAAAATATAAAAATTTTTTTATATGATGATTTATTATATTATGAGTTTAATTATCTATTTGTTAAATAAATGAATTTGATTCATATTTATAACTATATATTGAATTTGATATTATCACTATTTTCGATCAAATAATAAAATTTGTCAAATATCTTTTATAAATTTATTATAATAAATATTTTAAATATTACACTTTTTCATGTTAAATTTATATTTCATTTAATATTACAAATGTTATATGTATTCTTTATTAAAAATTTTGGAGAAAAAAATATAAATTCAAAAAAAATATTGAAATACTATAAAAAAATATATTTAAAATATATATACGATATATCTTTTTGTTAGTTACAAATTTATTATTATTATTATTTAATTCATAATTTCACAATCAACTAATTTGAAACTGTTATAAATTTTATATATAATGCTTTCAATTAAAACAAAAATTTTCATTGTAATCAATATATATATATATATATATATAT